CCCCAATTTCTACCGATATTCCAGAAAATGTTAAAATTTCTCGTTTGCACTCCCACTAGCTGAGTAACGGGTATCTGATAGTCGGGGAACTCTACTGTAGCATTCTATGTAACTTGTTCCTTATCGAGTGCTATAATTCGGAGGTAGTTCTTAGGCATAACGAGTTCTTTTTTGGTATATAACAGGTGTTTTTATATACATATTTATTGCAAGGGTATATATGTAAGTATCAACTTTTAGTTTGTTCTTAAAGGATTTTTATTTGTATTGTGTTCTGGGGAAACCACGACACTAGTCTAGTGATATTCTGGCGAAACAATAATAGCACTGAAAACAAAGCATACTTTAATGGTTTCGCTTGTGTGCTGCCAAGCTGTATCAACCGCGTATTAAATTAATATTGTACCTATCATCATAATCATTTGTGGTCACAACAAAGAAGCAAGACGAGACCAAATGGGTAGATCCTTCTTTGAGCCCCCGATAAGTGCTCCTGCCCCCCAGCCAAACTGGGCCTTTGAATGGAAACCAATGGGTTCCATTGCATTGCACAAAGTGCGCGGCGGAGTAAGTGGAGCAGGAAAATGGTGCCATTCAACCAGTTATGGAGGCTATTTCCAAAGAAAAATACAATTTAACTTTACGACTTTTGCGCCTGTGACAACAATTGGCATTAGTTCCCTCCAAAGTCGCCCATATCTATCAACTTCCTGGTGTGCGTAGATCAATCAAGCCAAATCAAGCGTGTTGTATAAATAAACTACTCGCACACTCGCACACACACAGTGCGATACGCACACAAGCAGGCATATTTGTGCTAGTGCGGCGTTTAAGTTTAGTTCGGTAATTAAAAGCCAAATGCTCATAAAACGAAAATTTATTAGCATTGTCTAAGCGAGTGTGTGTTTGTCGAGCACACACAACCGTGTCACTCGACACTGTGCGTGTGTAATACAGTTGCACATGGAAGGGGCGTGGCAGGGGCAGGATGGCAGTGGGGCAATGAGGCAATGGGGCGCATGGGGGCTGGGGGAGTGGCCTAAACGGCGACTGTGACATGTGGGTGTTGAAATCCCTATGGATTTTTAATGTGCTTAATTTGAGTGACAGCTCCAGAATGGGCACGATCGATTTCTGTCCGCCAACTCGCCCTTCCGCCACGCCCCCTTTCAACTGAGCCCCAATATTAAAAAAAACACACACACATGGAAATGACTCCATAAGTAAAACCAGCTCAGCGGAAATCTTAAGTTTAAAAAAAATGGTTTTCTGCTACTTTTGAAATTGTTTCAAATCTCTGCTAATTATGATGAGCAGTTCAAAAAAAGAATGAGTTCAAGCAACTTTTAAATGTCAAAGATCAGAGACTAACATTTAATTTGTTCAAGAAAACTAAAATGATAGAACTCAGCACCATATTTTCTACAATACTAAAGCAACAGAAGCCAAAGAGTTGTAATAGGTATATAAAAAAGATTTTCTGGATGTTACATCTTGAGGTTCTGAATTACTTTATAAAAAACAAATATGCAAATGTATTTTTGTTGTTTTAGCTACTAAATGGAAGCATTCCTTACCCAATATACACAAGCATTTTGGGTATAAGGGTGCCGATGAGCACTGGCCTCTTTTTCAAACCTTTTGAAGTGTACAAGTGTTTATTCAACAACCGATACTTGTGCTTCGTCAGTGTGTTAATGTATTCCAGCGTTCTTATCAATTCAATAAACCCCATTTTTAGACCATCTGCAGCCGAAACCAATGTCCCCACGAAACGGTCCCCATTCCGCACTGAGCCCAGTTCATCTCGTCTAATTCCTGGCTGCCTTTTCGCCCGAGTGTCGCACGGTCCTTAGAACGAATCCTGCTGACGAGCTCAAAGAAATTCATAATTAATGCGTTTTCCAAGAGAGGCACACAAAAAATGAAGTACAAGTGGGGAGGAGCGGTGTTAGCGCGAACGACGAGTACAGTGAGCCCTCTGTGTACACAACCCAACAGCCAGCAGCGCGGCACGCACACCCACACAAGCGAGCACGAAAGCCAGCGCGTTTGGCAAATTAGCCAAATGCGTTATTTGGCCCACAAGCATTTCAGTTTCAGTCGCTCACGGAACGTCCTGGCGTTTGGCCGCAAAAACCAAGGCAGAAACAAAAGTCCAAAAAGCCAAGAGCCCAGGGCTAAAAGTCAAAAGCCAAGTGCCAAAAGGTCGGGAAAATCCGCAGCAAACGTGGTGTGGGAACTCGAAACGCTAAGTGTGCGAAAAGCGTGTTTTAATGTGTGCGTACACAACATATACGTATGTACGGATTTGCTGATCTTGGCCAAGCATCTGGCCGCAATCAACTGATAAATTTATCAATTAACTGCCCGCTATCTGCGGCCAAACGCTAAGCTAATGAGGTTGTCGCGTTTCGTGTGGCTCTGTGTATTTGTGCGAGCTTGTGTTTGTGTGCAACAAGTCCGCGATCTGACACTCGGATTGGTCTGTTCACCCGGCTCGAACTAATCAAATGAATACGCCGGATAATTGCGAAATGCATATTAATGAGACTCTGGCAGTTACTGCGCCCACGCACCCTGCCGAACGGAATAGCACCACCCACTGAACCACCGCACCACCCAACCAACTCCCACCATCAATCGCCGGGTTCACTGGCAGCTGTTACCTCTGCGTAATACACCTTTCTTTTCTGCGTTTTTTATGGACACATTTTGGTGCCCGTTGGCGGATGGTAGTGCCACAGTTTGATGATTCATAATTTAGCCAATTGGGTTGGCGTTTGCACTTAATCCGCGGGCCAGGCACTTCGATTAGTCAGTTTGGGCCGCCATTCCCCTCCCATCTACGCGGATTTTTAATTTTGCATCAGATTTTTCTAAATATTTTCCAAACAAATCCGAGCAAATGTGTGTGCGGCGTGATAAAACAACAGCAACAAAATAAATACAAAAATTATGATACAGTGGCTAGTTTCGTAGATCGAAGTGCGAATGCCCTCGTAGATACATTATTAGTGCTAAAAGGGCTTAAAACCACGCGTTTATCTTAGAGATCGTTTGAGCCTTTGTTTCTGCGAAGTTAATCAAACTTACAAGTCAATAAAACTAGTTAGCTCAAGTTGGTAAGACCAAGATAGCCAGCATATCTACTCAACTGGCACCTTTAAGCCCAAAAGTGTCGAGCACCTTTTCGAATCTCTTTGCAATACCCTCACAAAAGCAGAGCATAGCAAATAATAAATCCGTACGGTGTGAGGCGAAAGAAATAAAAAATGTAAGGCATTGGAAGAATTTTCGACCTGCCTACATTTGTGTACTTTAATCGACAACACAAAAGAAGAGCAACAACAAAAAGTTGAGAGAAAATATCGCGCATACGCCACGTTGACTGCTCCGCGTAGAGCGGGACGGGAATGTGGCTGGCTGAATGCTGGAGCAGCCGCTGGTGCGGATGGGGGCTGGGCTGGAGAAGCATCGTCAGCATCTCAGGTTGGACGCTCCGACAGCCGACAGCCAACTGTCAGTTTGTAATCAACGCGTGCCAGCGGCAGCGGCAGCGGCAGCGGCAGCTGTGCGTGTGGATAAGAAACTTTCGGGTCACCCAGGCAACCCCGCCCACCCAGTGATCCCGTTCGATGCCGTGACCTCCAGCCCATCGATGGCCAACAAATGGCGGCATTACATTGCCCACGAGAGCCCATTGTGCAAAGCCGGAGACTAATCACTTAACTATTTATAAACAACGCACATGCAAGTTCCACTACGCATCGAATCGAATTTGGCCATGCCGGAATGCAATCAGCGATTAGTGTAGCAACTGAAGGAAAGATATTTTCAGTGGCTGTACTAAGCCGAACTCAGTTGAACTCCATTTGAAATCGTAGCTGCTACCACTACTGTAAGCAAAACGCGGAGTGTACAATTATTTTCAAATCTTTGTGAAGAGTGAATATATTTATTTGTGCGCGATGTTCTATTAGTAATCCGCCTATCCACAGCGAACTATAAAGTTGTTATTTCTGACCGCAAATTAGGTGTTTCATGGAATGAACACAGCTAATAAAAGATTTCTCATTAAGTGTTAATCCCTTGGCTTATCGGTTTAAGCTATTTATGAAATCAGTTCAAACATAAGACGGCGCATATCTCACCGATGCTGGGTAGGTAGCCAAAGCAAATACTCTTTAATTCCTATTGATCTTGCATAAACAGACAGATATCACCATTTTGCACCGTGCATAAAGTGCGAGATACTCGTTTTCGAGAGATGTAGTTTTGAGTACCCGTACCCGCATCCGTACTCAAAAAATTCTACTCTCTGTACCAAAGTGTGTGCTCAAGCTGTTTGTCTTACGGGAGTGGACGTGGATGCACAGAGCTCAGGAGTGGGGGCTCCGGAGCAGACCGGCTGTAGTGTCATCCGATCGAAGGTCGCCGATTCCGATGCCGATGCCGATTCCTAGCCATAGGAATTCCTCTGGGGGAACATGTGCCTGACTGATTTATTTCCAGTCTTTCGAGCGATATAAACTGAGCAATGCGAGCATGGGCGCATGTATGACTTTCCGTTCGGAGCTGAAATTGAATTGTAAATGGCAATATTAATTGGGAATCATTTAAATTTTCCGATGATTTTTTGTGTTTTGTTCGCTCTATGCATGTTCGGCGGCATAATTTATGGGCGCTAATTACTTTCGCCCCATTTTGTGTATTTCGCGTGCTGTCCAAGGCCAATTACGCTTACTTATTGCAATTTATGTGGCCACAGTCCGGCCGTAATTGGAAATTGTGTAAGGTCGCAGGCAATTCCATTATTTGTATGCAGTTCTGGACGCTCTGGTCTCCGGTCTAGCATTTTTATAATGACGCCAGCGCGTTTGGGGACGGCACCTAGCCCAGTTTTCCCATTGCAGCCGTTTGATTAAGTGACCTACGTTTCGCCCACACAGAATCAATTTGTTCATGTCGCCTTCGGTGCGAATAAGGTCCACCCCAAGAGCCTGAGTTATCCGACGGCATGGCGGCACTGGAACATCCGGATGCCGAGCTGCCGTACTCCAAGCTGCTGTCAACGGCGCTGACTGTGGCCACTGGAAACTCGAGCTCCTCGGATGGCAGTTGGCTGCTCCTCCAGGCCACTGCGGCACCAGCTGGCGAAGTGATGGCCACCGGAGCCGAGAAGATGGGTGTGCCCTCGATGAACTCCTACCTGGTGAGCATGGCGTGGCCCAAATCGCTGGCGGTGGCCGTCTTCCTGGTCATCATCCTCGTCACCGTGGTGGGCAACACACTCGTCATCCTCGCCGTTCTGACCACACGCCGCCTGCGCACGGTCACCAACTGTTTCGTGATGAACTTGGCCATCACCGACTGGCTGGTCGGGACCTGCGTGATGCCTCCGTCGGTGGTTCTCTACATAACAGGTGAGTGTGGCAGTGGAGGGCCTGTCCACGCCCATCGATGGCTAAAGATTTATGGCTCTGTGGGGGCATTACACTGCCCGGGAGGAAGGAATCGGGGCAAGTGTTTACTACTTGGCGCTCTCCGGTGGAAGTTCGGATAGTAAACATTTGCCCAAATCGATGGGGGAGCACGATTCAAAATAATCCCAGTGCGAAAATTAGAAAATTTCTACTTTGCCAAAATAAACATATTTTTTATTGCAAGACATCAAGTGAGTGCTGCGAGTGTTTTCAGTGGAAAACCTTTGATAATTTCTCTCAATATCTACATTTGTATCAGAATTGGGCAGGAAGCATAAGTTATTTTAAATATATATTTAGTGCTGCAGATGATGTTCATTTAACCATAATTCAAGGCAAACTTAGACGAGTATATTGCAGGAAATCTGAATTAAATGCAAACAAAAAGATAGAGATGCTCTTTCGTAACTTTGCCAGGAAGAATTTTGAGTGGCGTTTATGGAAGGATCTGCCAGTGTAACGCCTCCTCAATCCCTGCCAGGTGCATAGACCGATTGAAGCATGGCGCAAATATTTATTCTTGCAGGCACCTGGCGCTTTGGCTGGATACTGTGCGACATTTGGATCTCGCTGGACATCCTGCTCTGCACCGGCTCCATCCTCAGCCTGTGCGCCATCAGTCTGGACAGGTGAGTTGGGCAACTAATTTCGTAATTTGCCGTTGATGTCATAGCAATGGCCACAGTCCACGGTCCTTGGTGCTTGGTGCTTGGTCCTTAGTCCTTAGATAAAGTCATGGCAAGGTGCAAAAACAGTGCAAAATAATTTATTTGTTGACGTTTTTATTGCCGCATGACCGTTGTCCTGGCCATTCCCAGTGCATATCCTTTGAGTGTGCGACGCCACAATGGCAAGGATTGGGTTGGGCTTGGATTCCCATTGCCCATTGCCCATTCCCCGTTCTCGATTCCCCCATTCCACCGCTTGCTTTTGTTGGAAGTTTCAATTACATTTTAATGGCATTTCCAAGTTTTGTGTTGTGGCTCCCGGGCTGAGCTGATCCAGCTGAGCCGGAGCCAGGGATCTGAACCTGCACCAGGACACAGCCGACGCCCACTGGCGTTGGCGTTGGCGTTGTGTGCCTTTTGGCCTGGTCAGAAAGCCGTCTGCGGCTTTGCGAACAATATGTCCGCTTGGCTTTTGTTTTTTCGCCATTTCTCCGGCCATTTCCGTTGCGTTTATTGGCCCGGCTTTTATATTCCCCCTTTCTGCTTTTTATTTCGCAGGTATCTCGCCGTCACACAGCCACTGACGTACTCCAAGAAGCGCCGCTCCAAGCGACTGGCCCTCCTCATGATTCTCGTCGTGTGGATAACGGCCCTGTCAATCACATGTCCACCCTATTTGGGCTGGTAAGTAAGCGCCAGCTGCACGGAGAGCAAAATTATCCGTAACCGTGATGGATCGGCTATTCGTCTGCTAGGAAACGCATCCACGTTATAATCATTTAATTGAGCGCGTTGCATATGGTTAGGAGTGCAGATAACACGCTGTTCCGATCACCATTTAATATTATTTTTATTGTTTTTTGAATTATATTATTCCTATGAGCGAGAGATCTTATATTTGGTATTTTTCCTTGAGTAATTGTTGTAATTTCTGCAATATCAGCTTGACTCTTTCCCGTGTAAATTGAAATGAGTAATGTTTTTATTGGACCCCCTTTTTATAACCAAACTTGTCCTTCCGGAGGCGTGACCGTATTTCGTGGCTTTTTGGGGCTGCGAGTCCTGTTACCTTTCTTTCTATTTTTGGCTAATGGCCGTGTGGTGCCAGCATAGATAATGTGTTACAAAAGGGTCTCGTAATACATACGCTTATTTATATTATATTTGCGCCTTCGGCTGCGCCTAAAAAACATTACGTAATTGCGCCGGGTTGTTGCTGTTGCTCTTGCAGCCATTACATTGAAGTTTTAATGAGTTGTTAATGACTTTGTTTGCCGCGGCGCATTTGCTTTGTTCTCACCTACGCACACACTCTCAGCCCCAAAGCCGCACACTTGTGTGTTGCATACTTCCAGGCGCCCAAATTAACCAGCACTCACTCACTCACTCACACTCACACTCACTCACGCACACCACAAAGCCAGCATGTCCTTAATGCCATTGGCCATGGCTTAGTTCGGCCCCCTTTGGCAGAAACCGAAGAGCATGGCTTAAAGGGCACATTAAAACGGGCTGAGGCCGAATTACAGCCACAGCTGCAGGACATTGGAAAATTTTGAAAATTTGTGCTGGGGGAAATGGCAATTATAAGCGGCAGCAGATGGCGCCACTGCCACATTTTTATTCCTTAAGCGGAATAGTTTTATGAAAAAAGTTTGCAAATGCAGCGGTGCAACTGTTTGTTTAACTTGCAATCTATTATTTGTTTTTGCCAAATGAATAATTCAGATTACACTTTCGGCTAATTGATTTAAGTATTGTTTGCTTACCTTAGTTTCAATTTAACAAATGAGTGGCTACTGCATTAATTTCCCTTAAATTTCGTACTGATTATCGCTCTAGATAAGTGAATATAAAATAGGTATTTTTCTAGTAAAATGGGCTTTTCCATTCGGGTCCTGTAAATGGCCACCAGAACAAAGTGGCATGTGTACAATTATACTGTTAGGATATTTTAGTATCGGGTCCTGTAATTAGCGTGACTTTTCGGGTAACACGTATTTAGTGTAACAAGGAGATAATTCAGCCGGAAAATTCCATTGGGAGTAATGACAGTGCAGCAATGAACTATTTTAAGGAAAAACAAAAGTGGGATCTGGCTTCGGCAAGCCGTGGGGATCCAGTAGACGTGGCCAAACTGTTTTTGGCATATCAACACAAATTGGCAAGACAATAGTAAAACGAAAAAATCAACAATTTTTTCAAAAGTGACTGTATGGGCAAATTTGGGGCGCTTGATGTTCTGATAAAAACCTAATATGCTGGCTTTTATAGTTTCTGTAACCTCGACTTTCAGACGGACAAGGACTGATCAAAAATAAATATACTTAGAACGAACCTGGTATACCCTTTATTCCAAGAGTAATGGGTATAAGAAGCCAGGATTGACGCGCAGCTTGCCAACCACAGTGGTTGTGGGTGACAGTTTACCCATTTTTTACTCCATTCCCCACGGTGCACGATGGCACATTTGGTGTTGGAATCGGTTTCTTCCACATATTGATTTAAAGTCAGTTCCGGTTTGTGTTGGCTGAATGACCATCACCTGAGATGTGCATAAGTAAAAGGATTCCAGAAGGGACTACTCCGGCTGGCTTAGGTTTAGCATTTGAATACGAATTGCGCCGGCTTAACTCAGCCAGTTGTCATGCCCCAAGTCCCAGTTCCCCAGCCGCAATCACAACCGCAAGAGCCACCAAGCCAGGGCACCACAGCCCACATCGCACATCCCACATCGCACATCCCACATCGCACATCCCACATCGCACATCTCACATCGCACATCCTTCCAGCCCGCAAACCACATGCAATTCGAACTGGAATTCAATTTGCCATTCACATCCACATTCGCAGGTACGAGGCTGGGCGGCACCAGGCGGAGTTCGTGGACTGCCGCTACAACCAAAACAAGGGCTACGTGGTCTTCTCGGCGATGGGATCGTTCTTCATACCGCTCACCGTGATGCTGTACGTCTACGTTAAGATTGGTTATGTCCTCACGTCACGGCGACAGCGCATTGTGCGCGATGCGGTAAGCTCCATCTCCAGTCCAGCTCCACCAGTATACTAAGCATATACGTGTCCACCCTTTGGTGTCCCCTGAAATGTGTCCGGAAATTTATCATGTCACCTAACACATCCAACCAGCTAACCAGCTAACCAGATAACCAGCTAGCCATGGGACTAAGTTGTCAGGCACTGGGGAAAGAGATCCAGGAGTGCTCAACACTTCAAATGCAGATCTTCATTAAGTTGGGAAACCCACTTGAGTACCAGCCACTGTGGGTGATATTTTAAGTTCTGAGCTTTGATAACAGCAGCTTAACTAATATTTCTAATCACAAATTATATGTGCTTTGACTTCCTGGCTGTAAAAGGAATTACTTATCTCTTGTTGCTTACAATGCACACTGAACTTCAGGGAAATTGTTTCTGAATCTCTGAAGAAGTGCAAACTTTATTTGAAAATATATATTGTGAATTCTCTAGTTTGCTGGCAAGTAAACGAAATCAAAACTGCAAAATAGGTTTGCTGCCAAGACCCTAAGGTACTTGGAGATGGTAGGTGACGTTAAGTGGAACTATGTAATTACGGCCATCCAAATCCGGAATCTCTATGCCCGGACATGCAATCCAAATTATTCCCCACGTTTTTGCCAGTGCTCCGCTTACATATTCCCCTCTATTATGTCTTTCCACCAGCACTCGGAGCGCACGGCGGACTACGATGTGGACGGGGACAACTTCATCTCGGAGTCGGAGCACTATCACTGCACGCCAACCAAGTGGCTGCCGAGCAGAAGGTCTCGCTGGAGGTTCAACTCCCTGCACGACCCAGCCAGCGCCACCACGAATGCGGCCAAGGGACACCAGTCGTCCGTCAAGTGCGCCAAGTGCTCCTCTGCCACTGGAACTGCAGCTGGAGCTGCACCTGGCGCTGGCGCTGGCGTTGGAGCTGGAACTGGAGCTGGAGTGGCGGACAAAACGCTGACGTTCAAGCACCAGCCCACTTTCTACGAGCTGGTCGAGGTGTCGCGCCTCTCGTCGCTCATCCACTGCTCGGCAATTAGCTGCAAGTACGGAGGACCCTGCATGCACTCCACGCCCTCGGGGATGCACTACGTGGGCACGGAGGCCTCCTTCTCGGACACCTGCCTGGGTGGCACTGCGAGTAACACCACCACCTCCAACACCGCCGCTCTGGACACCAATGAGAAGCTGGAGGCGGAGGCGCAGCAAAAGCAGCAGCAGCAGCAGCACCACCACCACCATGGCACCCAAAGCCATCACAGCCATCACAACCATCACCACCGCATGCCGATGCGAGTTTCGACCACGAAACGTGATAGCAAGACCGCCAAGACCCTGACTATTGTGATGGGCGGCCTAATTGCTTGCTGGCTGCCCTTCTTCGTCTACTATCTGCTGATTCCCTTCCTGCCGCGAGCCGCCGTCCTCGAGGACCTCATGTTCGGCTTCACCTGGATTGGCTGGGTCAACTGCGCCATCAACCCGTTCATCTACGCCTTCTACAATCCGGACTTTCGCACTGCCTTCTGGCGGCTCACTTGTCGCCCCATTTGCAAGCAGAAGCGTCCGCCCAACCACCTGGCCATGTTCCGTGGCTAGTTTCCGGCTGCAGATGCGATGCGGATGGGGATCCGGAGCCTAACCGGTTTCCGAATCACTGAGCACTTGAGTGTCGCCGTCTCCAGTCGCACAATCGACGCTCACTTGGGTGCTGGGGGAAATATCTCAGGCATATCCTTAACTTTTCGCCGTGCTGGTTCACCGACTTCATTGTAATTACCTTACACGCAAAACATTTGTGCTAATTAGTGGCCTCACTGTTTACTCACATTTTAATCTCTTGAAAAGCAGAACCAGTAGTGCCCAGCAAGGACATCAAATTGACTCTAGTAGATACAATTGAATTTCAGAAGTACAACTACTTGTATCCCTTACTATTACACTTCACTTGTTCTTATAATTAAATCGATTGAGGATGATGGTAATGAAATATTAGTGCGAAAAACTGCTGAATTTAATTCGCGTTTTATATTTATAAAAACAAAAAATCTACAAATAGCTTAAGGCACAAAAATTGTAACTAATATCTCAGGAAACGAAGCCAAGGCAGCGACCTTTTAGCCAACTCTTGGCCACCACCTCAACCGAGTATTCATTTGCAAGGCACTAAGCTGTTTGCCGCACTCTATCCATCCTCCATGCCAAACGCAGCTAGTAAAACTTAGATACTTACGGTCAATATTGATTTCAACAAAGATTGCCTTGTTAAAACCAAAAATCGACTGCCTTTTCAGGCTTTGAAAGCCGCATTCTGAGCAGTATCTTAAAGGTCACTTTGCGGGCGCTGTTTTTCGTAGGACTCACTGCACTTGGTCGGAAGCTGAGATTCTTGCCTAGACCAGATCCAAATCCTATATGGTAGTAGCTTCCAGTGTGAGCGTTGATTGTGCGAGGCGATCGGCACGAAGCGAGTCGAAACAAAAGACAAATTATAGTATTTGCGGGTCTTTGTTGCCTGACGGCCACTGTTGACCAACGGGATGAGTGGGATGATGATGGTGCGGTGCTCATCCTTATGCCTTTGTTGTGTGTGTCCAGTTTGTCTGTGTAGTGGTGAGCTGCCAACGACATGTCTGGCGAATCCTTTGTTGGCCAAGTCCGGTCAAGTCCGGCCTAACCCCGCAGGCAGCAACCACTGTCCAGCATCCACTGTCCAGTGTCCACTGTCCAGTGTCCACTGTCCAGTGTCCAGTCCGTTCCGGCCAGCCCATTTAATGTTCAAGCAATCGCACTCCGTGCTCCTCGCCGGGCGAAAGTGAAACTGTAACTAAAACTAGGCCGGATTTCAAACTGCACTTGAGCCTGCCGGGACTTTGGATGCCCTCTGGAAACCCTTTGTGCACACACTAGACCCGTTAAGCATTTTAGCCCAACTAATTTGTATAGTTGTATTATACATATGCCATGCCCATTATACTTGTAACCGTGTGCGACTATGTGTAACTGTGTGTAACTATGTGTACTTTATGAATGTTCACCTGGAATGGATCTCTGTAGGAACCTGTCGGCCAGCCGAAAGAGTTCCTGACTAATAAACCCTAAGTTCAACCAAGAGGCAGTTTTATTATATCCGAAAAAAGGTGGCAGCTGGAAGGTGAGCTAAGTTGAACGCTGGTAATATGCCAAACATATAAAATATGCGCACAACTCACAGCGGTGGTTTTCGCCATTCGGCTATAAATTGTCGCACAAAGTTTTATGTGCAATTTTGGGAGCACGTCTTCCCGTTCAAAATGACGGTAGTACGTGCTATCTGCAGCACATGGAAAGATTTGCCAAGTTAAGCCACATGAGGTGGCACTCATATATTATGGACATCGGGTTGACTTTCGGGGACTCACCATACATAATCTCGAAAATTAAAAGAGGACGACTGCTGCTCCCATTTATTTCACTCCTCGATAAGTATCTTTCACATTTCAATGTCTGCACTGCAGTTCCCAGTTTCGCTTGATAAAAGCGGAAGTTTTAATTTATTGGAAATGCGGGGGAAACGCCGGGGGAGTAGACCCCATTGCATAGCGCACTTTCCAGCGCAGCCTTGGCTTCATTTTTTGTGATTTATCAGTGCGAGTGGTAACCCGGTGGCCGCCACTAAGTTGTTTACGGCAAAGAGGAGGGCGGCTAAGAATATAAAAGAAACGCTGAATCAGCGAGACCCGGAAAATGGCTTCGGAATACGGCTGTGCGACTCCGGTTCCAGCTGTTTCAGTGCGGTGGCGTTACATTAATTTAGCTGGAAATAAGGCGTGAAAAAATATGCGGTCATCATAATTACATGTGCCCGGGCCCCCAGGACTCACAATGGCGGACCGCCCACACATGTGACTAATATAAGAGCATGACGGGATGGTCGTCGGTGGGCGGAGATGGCCGGGGATGGGGCGGGGATTCAAGGGGCCAGCCCCACCCACTCTCTAATGAATTGCAACACATTTCGCTGTCACATTTCACTTTCGAGTCGGGCTCGGCGGAAACGGTCGTCCTTAATGCCCCCTGTCAACGGCCTGAAAACCTGGAAACCTGGAAACCCCATGCTCAGTGCGCCGTTCCGTAAATTTGGCTTTTTATAGCCGGTACTTGTCGCAAATGCGGGGTATGTCGTACAGAACTGGGAAAAGCAAAAGGCTGGGCTAGGACATCAGCTAGATATCTAAATGTGCATCATTATTTATGCACAGCATCATTTGTTCATGTGCAATACATTACCATTCTCACAATCATAGTTCATGATAATCGTAGTAATAAGATATGTTACTTTGAATTGCACCTTATATATAAGTGCTACTTATTTCCTAAATTTTGACCTGTATTCATCTTTAAAAGCCAAACTGAGTGAGATAAATAAATTTAAACTTCATTCAACAGCAAGCTGCGTGCCTAGTGAAGCTCCTAGGCATACCATGCATTTATGCGCTGATTACAGGGTATGCCGCAGGCAAAACACTGCTGCTCAGTGTATATTTTTATTCCTTTTTCGGTGGGAACCCCGCCATTTCGCCCCGCTTTGTTGGCTGATATCGCGTAATGTGTTAAATTAAATGGCCGCTGTTTCAGGTGGAGCCAAAGGCGAAGGAGCGAAGGTGGAGGTCGGGATGAAGTTGACTGCCATGCCGACATCCTATTTTCAGCCGCCTGCCGACAGGGTCCTTGGGCTAATGTTGTTGTGCTGCCAGGAGATTTTCGGTTATGTCAGCGCAGCATTTGTGGGTTATGAAAAACAAAGGACGAAAAACAATACATCGATACTTTGGAGCATTTAACAAGTGCTTGGGACAGGCAAAGTTGGCGAAACTCTCATGACAAATGCCCCGCAAATGTTTTTCGAATGAACTTTCGTTTTATTTCGGCTTCCTTTGTTTGCGTCGTCAAGTTGTTTTCTGGCCCAGTTGGGTCGACTGCTCCAATGAGCTCCAATGAGCCTCCACAAGTGCCGCCCACTCTGCAATCCAATTGGATTTTCGGGGGGCAACTTAGCTGCCTCGACTCAGCCGATCAATTAATGTTAGCCAAGTTGGGGCTTGTGCTCCGGCTCAATTAGAGTCTTAAAACTCCATTTGGAGGCTCCGCAACTGAGCCTGCCCCCCGCGGAATGGATGCGGATTTGCAGGATGGGAATGGGAATGGGAATTTGCGGGCTGGCTGTAGCTACAATGAAATATTCATGACGGGATGGCGGGGCTCGTATTTATGGTTATTTTGCGCACCAAACACAACTTTGCGCTCGGTTCCCTCTGCTCCTTTTTCCGGGATTTTCCCTTGAATTCGTCCTGGTTAAATATAAATACAGACAAGCAGTACACACACATATGGACGGCGGGGGTACACACATACAGTACAGTGTATCTGCAGTTGCGAATTCAATTTTGAGACTGATCAATAATTCACGTTACCCGCACTAACCATTGTTCGCAGGACTAGAGGGTCCTTCCAATCCGGCAACTTTAAGCGCAGAGTCGGAGCTTAAACCGAGCTCAAATGAGAGAAAAGCCAATCTGTAGCTGTTTTTTTTGTCTTTTGGAATTGTCTATTTATTTGTTCGTTTTCAAAAACTTGCTGTTCGTACACACACAACTATTAATAAATTTACATATATTCGTATGCAGATTATGCGGATTATGCCTGTGATATCAGCCGGAATGAGACGAAATGAGATATATGAGATATATGCGATACGCTAGGTGGGCGAGCGACGATGAGCTGCATCCGCCGAGTTTGTTCCGCCTTCGACGGGACGGGTTGGAAAGCAGCTCCTCACCCGGAGCATCTGTTTGACTTGTTGGGACTGGCATGAGCTGATATTCCGGAAATCAGATATTCAGAAGGATCCAGGAGGAAGGATGGCATGCTGATGAGAGTTTCGTCTGGCTTAATCTCTATGTCGTAGGCGTGGCATTGCTTGATTGCGTTTATGACTTCACACCGCCGCCGGCAATGGATGGAGTTAGAAAGTAGATTGCTTGGTACAACACGAAATGTAGTCCTACTTAAGGGTTAGCTACGCTGCTGATGGCCTGAATAAATTATGCCTACAGTGTACTCGTATAATTGATTATAGCCCATTCACACACTCACTTTCACCTATTAGATGGCACACGCACACACTTTACACGAGTTTTGTTAAGACTAAAGGAAAACTCTTGAAGTTTGAGCCAACTTCAACTATAAACTAAATCACAGTAACTGTTTTAACTGGTATTCCGATAACGCTTATTAAAGCTAATTCTCCACTCGAGCCCAGCCACTAGATATTCCACTGAATTCAGTCCCTTCTCCTGTAAATCAATCAACCCGTATCTCTGGGCTATATTCTTTATGATGTCCTGATACCACTTGATAAGATATACTGCGTTATTTAGAGCTATATATCCTGCACTAAGCCCAAGTACGACAGGGACCAGCTAGCTGCATCGTAAATCGCCAAAGGGAATGCGGAAGTGGCTCGGGGTCACCACCAAACTGGTTACCTTGCCACAAGCGCGCGGCTGAATTTTGGAGCACGAGGAATGGCCGTATAAACAAGTTTTGCCATCCATCTACGCTGTCTGTGCCACTGGCCAAGTGCAAGTTGTCTTGACGGCCGCCAAAGAGCAACATCCAAGGAAAATGTTGCCATTTTGGAGGCGCCGCCCGCTGAGCGGAAAAGTCGCGCGGAAATTACTAAATCGATACGCATCCGATTTTCCATGGGCTCCGCATGCAAAAATACGCTGAAATCCTTGCCTGCATTCGCATACACACATCTTGTACAGTCAAGCTTCATTAAGTCGCACATCGAATGCCAATTTTGTGTCGAGGGAATTGAAGTCTCCATAACTCGAAATTTTTTGTTACTCTCTAAAAGGTTTTCGGGAAAATGAGCCGATAAAAATTCTATAATATTTTCCCCGACTAGCAGACCAATTTAGATCATAAAGATCATAAAAAGATTTTC